ACAGGCTCTTGCCGAAGGCTGGGGGCGGCGGTGATTCGCAGCAAGCGTCTTCGATACGAACAACCCATACGTAGCAGCTACGTATGTGCCGTCGCTACGCTGCCTCATGATTGGCCTAAATATTTCTGCACTTCCAGTTATTACCTGACATGTCTCGAAGGGCCCGTGCACACCCATTGAAGATGGGTGATGGTGGCTCGTCGAGGCTAGTCAACCAACGTCATCACCATCACCATCACCATCAACATCATCATCAGCAGCAGCACCATCCTCGCCATCCTCATCATCATCAGCATCATCATCATCATCACGAGCAACCTCATCATCAACAGCAGCAGCATCATAACCAGAAGCATCATCAACATCATCATCATCATCATCATAATCATCATCATCATCAGCATCATCATCATCATCATCATCATCATCATCCTGATCATCATGATCAGCTTCATAATTGTCATCATCACCATGATCATCGTCGTCGTCGTGGTCAGCATCATACCAACAAACACGATCATCGTCATGATTGGTCGCCCCCTCGTCCTCCTCCTCATCCTCCTCCTCCGCATCACCACCACCACCACGGCCATCATCATCGTCAGCATCATCATCCTCGTCATCATCACCATCATCATCACCATGATCATCACCCTCATCATCATCATCATCATCATCATCATCATCATCATCATCATCATCGCCATCATCATCATCATCATCATCATCATCGTCATCATCCTCATCCTCATCCTCATCATAACCATCAGGATCATCATCAGCATCATCGTCGTAACCATCATCATCACCACCATCAACATCATCAGCAACATCAGCACCATCATCATAACCACCATCATCATCATCATTATCATCATCACCGTATCCTCCTCCACATCATCGGTCTCATCCTGATCGCCATTCTTCTTGAGTGTCAGTGTCCTCGTCATCGCGCTCATTGTACTCGTCAGTCTGCTCAGCATCTACATCATTCTTAGCATCCATGATCCTTGTCCGCGGCCTCCTGGACCTGTCCCCCTGGTCACCAACATCATCGTCACCATCGTCGTCATCGCCGTCCGCCATCATCATCTCCATCATCGTCGTGGTTACCATCGCCATCATCAGGGTCCTCCTCCTCCTCCTCATCATCATCAGAATCATCATCCTCACCATCATCATCGTCCATCATCATCACCATCATCGGCAGCATCAGCAGCATTAGCATCAGCATCAGCAGCAGCATCATCACCATCATCGTCATCGTCGTCATCATCGTTCATCATCATCACCATCATCAGCAGCATCAGCAGCAGCATCAGCATCAGCAGCAGCATCAGCACCAGCAGCAGCAGCATCATCATCATCAGCATCAGCATCATCATCATCATCATCATCATCATCATCATCATCATCATCATCATCATCATCAGCATCGTCGTGGTCATCATCATCATCATCAGCATCATCATCATCATCATCATCATCATCATCATCAGAATCATCATCAGAATCATCATCATCATCGTCTCATCCCTGCTCTCGTATTTCTCAACGTCTCATCCTCGGATGAGCGCGCAAGCACGAGCCGAAGCAGACGCACACGCGCCACCACAGCCGCGCCGCATCCGAGGCAGCGCCGTCGCCGCCACCGCGGCTGCGGCTGCCGTTTGTCCGGGCCTGCCGGCAGCTCCACACGGCTCAGTCCAGGGTGGGAGCCACATCGTGGGTCCTCCCATCGGCTCAGCTCCACACGGCTCCACCTGGGTCACGCCTTTGGGTCCAGGAGCCACATCGTGAGCGCCATGCGCCGGTGGGAGGTCGGCAGGACCTCGTGGACGGGGCCCCGCGATCGGAAGAGCACGAGCGTTCCGCCCTCGGGCATGACGTCCACCTCCGCGCCCGGGGTGGCGCCGTGCATGCGCAGGGCCCCGCCCCGCTCCTCGCTCCACGAGTCCTGGAGGTAGAGCAGGGCGGAGACCCTTCGCCGTGCCACCTCCTCGCGGCTGGTGTGCGAGGGGATGCAGCAGAAGAGAAAACGCCATAAACATAAACTTCTGGAGCTCCGCGCGGATTTCTCGGATCTGGGCTGGACCCCCCCTCCCTGGGGCGTTCCGCGCGCCAGGGGCGGCGCCAGAGGCGCCGCGGGGGGGCGGGGGGGGCACAGCGCAGATCCGAGAAATCCGCGCGCAGAGCCAAAAGTTTATGTTTATGCCGTTTTCTCTTCTTCGGGGATGTCCTCGTCGTCTCCGAGGTCCTCGTAGGCGCACCAGTCCGTGTGCTCGCCGTACCGCGCGCCCCCGCCGTCGTAGCAGGCCAGCTGCATCCGGGGGCTGGGCTCTACCGCGGGGGCCCCCGCGGGCCTGTGCCTGTTCAGCGCGGCGGCCACGCCGGAGAGGAAGGCAAAGCCGAAGGCGAGCCCGAGGAGGCCCTCGGCCTCGGCCGCGCTGCCGCTGAGGAAGCCCAGGGTGGGGCACTTGCCGAAGAACTTCTCGTACATGGGCAGGAGGAAGAAGCCGCTGCATCGCCACCATTGCTCGGAGGTCCCCGCGGGTTCCTCGGATCCGCGTCAGGCCCCCCCCCCCCCCTGGCTCGCGGGGCGCGCCAGGGGAGCCCCGGCGCCTCTCCCAGCAGCCTGCGCGGACCTCCGAGGAATGCCGTGGATGCCGCCGCTCGCTCCTCGCATGGGGCTGGACCTGCCCGAGGTGTCGGGCTCCCCCGTGCCCGTGACCGACAGGCGGCCCTGCTCGTCCAGCGCCTCTGGAGGCCTCCCAGATGGGGTCCGAGTAGATGGGGTCGAAGGATCGCGCCGCATCGCCCGTACATCGGCGACGTCGGCGATGCACCGGCGACGCCGCACCGCCGCACCGCACCACCGCACCGCCGCACCGCGGCGGCGTGGAGATGATCGGGCTCCACATCGAGCCGCACCGCCGATGCATCGCCGACGCATCGGCGATGCGGCGCGATCCTCCGACCCCCCTCTGCTCGGACCCCTTCTGGAAGGCATCGAGCCTCGGCATCGCCCCGCATCTGGCGCGTCAGCCCCGGGCCCACGGCGCCGCGGAGCACCACCAGCCCGCCGTAATCCGGGGCCGCGGACCCCGCGCGGCCTCGGCGCCTGCACCGAACGCCCTCGGCAGGCGCGCACACGACCACACACCAACACACGGCCCATTCGGCGTCGCGGCCACGCGCGCAGCGGCGCGGCGTGAAGCAGGTCGAGCGAGAGGCGCGCGCGGGCCGGCCCACACACACACACACACACACTCGCTCGCACACACACTCGCTCGCACACGCAATCACCGAACCCCCTCGGCTCGGCAGCCCTGGCACCCCAGGTCCTCTCGGTGACTCTGCGTACCCAGGACCGTGGAACCGAGGCAGCACAAGGTCTGCATGGACCGCTGTGGAGCGTGGCGACGACCGCCGGATCGACCACCGCCTCAAGAGGCCTCCCGAATGGGGTCCGAGTAGATGGGGTCGCAGGATCGCGCCGCATCGCCGATGCATCGCCGACGCATTGGCGATGCGTTGGCGGCGTCGGCGATGTATCGGCGACGTCCACGTGGAGAACATCGGGCTCCACATCGAGCCGCATCGGCGATGCGGCGCATTCCTCCGACCCCGCCTGCTCGGACCCCGTCTGGGATGCCAGGAGCAGGACGAGGAGGGCGAGGAGGAGGAGGGGGGAGGAGGAGGAGGGGGAAGGAGGAGGAAGAGGAGGAGGAGGAGAAGGAGGAGGATGAGGAGGAGGAGGAGATAGAGGAGAAGGAGGAGGAGGAGGAGGAGGAGGAGGAGGAGCCTCGGCGCGAAGAGCCGCCTCCCGCGCCGCGTCCTCGGCCGTCCGGAGCGGCGCGTCGAAGCCCGGGGCGGCGGTGCGCCACAGCGGCGTCGGCGCCACGGCTGGGGCGGCGGCCGCCGCCGCCGCCGCGCGGGCGGCGGCGCCGAGCAGGAAGCACGCGGGGCGCGAGGCCGGCGGGCCCGACCGCGGAGCACGGCCCATCGCTGCACCCGATGCCTCGGTGGCAAGTCGTGGGAGCCTCCCACATCATCTCGTCGGCTCCTGCGGATCGACGCTCACCGACGCTGAATCGACGCTCAGGCCGACGCTGCACCGACGCTGTAGCCGACGCCCAAAAATCCGGCACGATCTCAGCGCTTGCCAGACGCTGATCGATGCGGGTGCACCCTGAAGACAGGACTGCGAGGGCACACAAGGCTCCCGTGATTTGCTACCAGACGATGCGCGGGTCGCCCAGCTCCGCGCGCCGCGCCACCGAAGGGTGCGCGGCTCTCCTCTCGAGGCTTCGCCGCGCCCTGAGGGCGGAGGCTGCTGGGGCACTCGCTTGGCGGCGCGCACGGGGGGGTACAGTGGAGGCCAGTCCATAAGAAACCCTCCACAAGAAACCCAACCCCGAGAACCCAGGACGTCCATTGATTTGTGGTGTGGGAACGTCACGCTTTCCATGGCAAAACCATGGAGACCTAAGAAACCCAGGGCACCCTGGAGGCGAGAAGGGTACAGTGGGGTAGGGGGGCAGGCTTCTCCGAAGGAGGCCGCTGCTGATAGGGCGCGGCCCTCACATCTGTTTGCAAGGCCCGCGCCTTCCAAGAGGAAGGGGTGCTTCGGTAGAGGGAAACAATTAGTAAACACCCCCCCTGCCCCCCAAACTCAAAGTTGGCACGCGCGGGGGAGACTGCGGTCGAGGTGCAACTCATCAGACCCACCGCCAACTTTGAACATTGGGGGGAGGCGGAGGCGTTGACAGGTGAATGTGGCATGAGTGTTCGCTATTTCTTTCCGAGGCCTGTTCTAAGGAGCCTTCCCCCCTACCCTGACCTTACTTGGGTCGGGCATGTCCCCCTACAGGCGGAGTTTTTGGGCGAGGACTGAAGAATAGTCTAAACACATAGTTTCTCCAAAAATGCTCCAAATAGTCAAAAAATCGTCCCTGGACAGTTTTTCACATGTCTTTGAAGATTCCCCCTGAAGAGGGACAGGCCCGACTTAACCCTACCCCCGTCCGCGCGTAGTTGACACTCCACGGGTGCGCGAGGCAATGCGTTCCGAGTGCACCCCGGCGGAAACTGTTGATCGACGCCCAGAGGCAATCGAATCCATCCGGTGATGCGCACGTCGACGAGCGAAACAGACCAGGGACTGCGCCAGCACACTCGCATGCCAATATCGGATGAGACCGCGCAGACCTCCTCTGCCGACATGTACGGGTGGGCATTCTCTTAATGCCCGAAACCCTCGAGCCCTCGCCGGGCCACCTGGGATGAACCGCATCGAGAAGGACATGCTCAATAAAAAATATGTCGCTGGCGCCTAAAACGACAACAGCATGCTCCATCAGAGACGTGGCCGGCACCGAAGCGAGAACGACATGCTCAGTGAAGGATGGCGCCGGCGCCCAGTCGGCAGCAACTCTTTCAGTCAGAGACGTGCCCCACGCACAGGCCAGAGCATCACTCCGAGATATAAGCGCGTCGCCAGAATGCAGGCGTCACGCCCGCTTCGCGTGGGCCGGGCTCGGTGTCACCGAGGTCCAGGTCACGTCAGGCGGGCAGTCCACGTTAGGGGGGAGTGTACAGGACCCGAGGTAGGGAAACGAGCTCTATGCACCGACGCTTTTCCGACCCCGCGCTGAAATTCGCACAGGACTGCGCATCCTGGTGTATACGGGATCCTGGTGTATACACTTTTCGTTGTGTCCCTTGGAGAACGGGGGAGAAGTATACACCACACCACCCCGACATCGTCCCCCGACCCTCCAAAAAGTCCTGGGATTGAAACACAACCCGCCACTGGTAATGTACAGTCGGGGCGTTGACCTAAGGAACCCTAAATAAGGAACGAGGCCCCTGTTTCCCACAAGTTCAACTTCGATTTACCTTCGAAAGCCTGAGGAAAGCCTGAGGCAGATCGTGAAACAATCAAGGAACACCGAGCCCCTCCCCGACGAGAAGGATTCCTTCTTCAGCGCCCCGACGGTATATGCTCCAGTTCCCGACGAGGGGCGAAGGCTCGAGGAGACCTCGAGCCCGGTGCGGCCGCGCACCCCGACACCAGCGGCTCGGGCCAGGATGGCTACGGAGGTTGCCGGCGCTCTTCGCGCGCGGGCGCAACGCCTGGTGCGGCGCATGCTCGCGGTGCTCCGCGCGCTGCTTCCCACTGCCACTACGGTCGGCCTTGACTGGACAGGACACGCGAGAGGACAGAGGACCCTCCCGGGGGCCACGTTGCCACAGGAATGCAGGAGGCATGGGTCGCAAGACACAGGACACGAGGGTACCCTTGATCTGGCAGGGTCGACCTACTAATCCGGGCCGCCTGCACCATCCGATGACTTGGCTGCAGTCAGAAGGACCACGGCAGATGTTGTGGCCCGCCTGGAGCGAGACAGGGCCCCCCAGCCGGGCGCAGCGCGCTCTTCGGGGCCCAAAGACGGCCCAAGACTGCCTCAAGACGACCGACGCACGACTTCCTCAAGCAGCTGACGGGAATGAACGCACGCACGCACGCACGCACGCACGCACGCACGCGCGCGCACGCACGCACGCACGCACGCACGCACGCACGCACGCACGCACGCACGCACACACAACACACACACACACACACACACACACACACGCACACACACACACACACACACACACACACACACAGCACGCACACACAGCACGTACACACAGCACGCACGCACGCACGCACGCACGCACGCACGCACGCACGCACGCACGCACGCACGCACGCACACACATACACACACACACACACACACACACACACACACACACACACACCCACACACACACTGGACTAACACAGGCCCCGAGGATGATCGAAAGAAATCTCGGCCACCTTACCCTGATGCGCGCGGATCCTCACAGCTTCGGGGCGCGGCCGTCAGTTAGAGATGATGTTCTACCATTTCGGGTAACTGTCATTACCCAGGGGAGGGGGCCTGGGTAAGTGTGACGCTTGGGCGGGGTGGAGCACATCGGGGCGGGTGGTGCGCTGCGATCGCCACAGCATGGGGCGCGAGCACCAGCATGTGGGAGGGGTGGTCCAGGCCCCAGACCGTTGCACACAACCTGGGGCGCTAATCCAGAAGCCGCATTAAAGTGATCATTTGTTTTTTGGCCCCCCCTCTGTCACAGAGGGGGTCAAATATGCCCCCCCTCTGTCACAGAGGGGGTCTGAGATGCCCCCCCTCTGTCACGGAGGACCTCGTTCTGGGTGCTCTTCTGCCACGGGAGCTCCCGATACGATTGGAGACGATAAAATGTGATAGCGGGATGGGGGATTGGAGGGGGAGGGAGAAGAAAACGATGAAGGAGAGGAGGCAACGACAGCACCGATGAAAGCACCGTTTCTTTTTCCTTCTCCGCTCGGGCAGCGGTCGCCGAGCACGACGGCGCGCGCGAGTCGCCGCCGCTCACGATGCATTGGCAAGGCCTCCGCTGCTGCGGAGGGTCGACGTTCGG